AATAAATTTAATATTTAATAAAATAAAATAAAAATAATTTTAAATACACATGAAATAATGGTTATAATGTATATGGACAAAGCCAGAAGATTTATGTAGACCCCAGATAAATAATAGTATGTAAATATTAGTATTTATGTAGTGTTTGAAAACCTAAACTACTGAATTTTCTGAAACATGTCTACATAATTTTCTGGGAACTGGGAATTGGGATTTTATTTTACTGGGAACTGGGATATGGGGTGTTTTTTTGCTGGGAAAGTGGGAATGTACCCTCCCGCCGTTCCCCCCTCTAATAAGTGTGGTAATAGATTCTCTATTAATATTTCTTCAAATGATATAATGGGTGTATGTGATAATTGTTTATTCCACGTTTACCGAGCATAACACATTCAACCGAGACGATGTCGCAATAAAATAATTTGCAGAATTAAGCCTCTGATCTTAAACCTTGCGTGTTCCACCTTCTAGCTCGACGGACCCCGATAGTTTCTGGTTGGAGATATACAAGAACATCTACCTGTACCGCAGTCATCCAGGCTTCAAGTATTCAACTCGAATGATAGCGTCGATGCTGCTGTCTTTCCTCATCGTCTATTGGGTGAGCAATTCAGGAGGCATTTGTCTGAGATCAGGCGGTCGCGAGCACGCAGCTATCACGGGCACACGCGTGCTGTTTCCTATTTACCGCACTTGTTCTTTTTTCCAGACGTCCATCTTGGTTTTCTTTAGCGCGGGGACAGTAACGGAGAACATAGAGGATTCTGATATGAAGTCAGCAGTAAAGATATGCTGGTACATTTCCGCTGCGCTTGCCACCCTCATCATCTCTTACAGCATCATGGCCACTGTCGCCTTCTACCGGTAGGCACACTGCAAAGTCACCTCCTTTCCCGACGACACATGTAACGTGCACATGCACTAGTTGCTTAGGTTATATAGCTTACATCATCGAGTCTAACCGCGACGCTCTGCACCAACGGAGTGCGTTTATTGCGTCATAAAAAATGGGAATACAGATGAGTTACAGAGAAACCGTCGGCCTACATTGTCTCTTATTGTGTAGTATCATTAATTATTACTGACATTTAAAGTGTAGTATCCTCACAAATCCATTGGTATTATCCCAGAATAACTATTATGACTTAATACGTGTAATGGCGTGTGAATTTTTAGATTACCCGCAGCGTGAATGGTAATGTCTGTAAGGTGTCTGTCTGTGTGTGTAAAGTGTGCTGGCAACGTCAAAGGCGACATCTTTCTGGCAAAGCTCGCAAGTGGAAACCATTTCCCGTTGCAGACGCGATTTGCTCAACGCTTTTAGAGGCAACTGGGATTTTCTACCAAGCTACTATGATCCTCAGGCTCACCATCTTTTGGTAGGTATCAACGGGTAATCGCACATTGTGTACATTGACTTGGAGCCCTCCTGAGTAAACTGGTTATGAGTGGCTTACTGCCATAATCGCGTTTTGACAATTGCTTTAGTTTTTATAGTGACCGTCTATGCAACCAGACATACCCAATGTTCAGAGCGTAGTTATCAGTTATCGCATGATCATTATTTACAGGCACGAGCATCCAGGTTTCCAGGTTACCAGGCAGCATACTTATTCATTGGTAAATGTACTTCCACCTGTTGATTTGCAGTCATAAACTATTGAAATATTGATCACTTATTTGCATATATATATATATATATATAACGTCGATTGTCACTCGTTTACATCGAACACACGAAATATATATATGATGTACGTACCTACAAATGTAGGAACGTGTGCGTGTATTTAACCAGCTTCATCTATACCGTCTCTTGGCTTCTTTCAGGGTATCTAGTGGCGCAAGCTGTTAGCTTTTTCCTCAGCTTTCTAGTCTACTTGCTGGAAGAAAATCTCCGTACGTCTTTCTCGGATACCACCTTGCCTTTCTTGTGAGTGCCTTTATTGTAGGCGGTAGTGGTTTAAGGGTAGCGAATGCGTATCATGTGTGGCAGAATTTGCGTTCCTGATTACAATACAGACTTCTGATACCATTTTTTACGTTTTTATTTATCTATAATAAGTGAAGCTACCAGATACATGATCGACTAATTGTTAAGGGTTGTTGGAAAATATCGCATAAGACTAAAATTGATGAGAGGATACGCAACCGTACTTTTGGTGGCTTCAGGTCTGATGATAGCAGTTTTATCAAGGAAACATTGAGCCTAGCATGTTACTATGATATCGCCGAACGCTCTGATTGTAACGTCGAGACTCGTTAGAGCGAAGCGTTTTTCTCAACCAGGTTGTTTTAAGATCATATTGTTTCTATCAGTAAAACGTGCGACTGCGTCCTTATTTCTCTGCTGCAGGATTGCTCTATGCGTGTGCATTTCCTGCTACTTCGTACCTCCTCTTGTTAACAAGCGGCTGTTCCTTCAGAAGAAATTAAAAGAGTTTGAGCCAGATTATTACGTGTCGCTTGACAATAGGTGAGTCAATCACGGCAGCTGGAGCCGCTACGGAGCTCGCGTTACAGCTAAATATTTAGAGGCGATTATAATATACCCATGCACGCATTCTCTCCCACGATGTATAATGTACGTTTAGAAATAAGAATCCGGCGTTATTACAATCACCATTGCATAATATTGATCGATCATTCTTTGCCCCCCCCCCTATTTATAATGATTGTTTTAATCATTATAACCAATTTCGACCAACCGATTTTCTAATTTGCTTCCGTTTGCATCCGAACACTTCTAATAAATCAAATGCATGTACTTCAGCGACGTGAAATATGTCAATGCTGGGCTTAGATCGGCGAACTCTGAATGTAACGTCAAGACTCGTTAGACTCAAATATTTTCATTAACGAGGTTGTACCTGGACTGCATTTCAGCGATAACTAGCTCAGTCCTTTCTCTCCATTTTGATAGCGAATGATCATAAAGCGAAATTCAAGTTAATGTGCAAGAATAACGAGCCTTCCAGCCTAGAATTCTTCACCCGCATTCTCAGTTGATCAAAACGATCACTTGATGAAACGAATAGTTTAGAAAACAAACGTGACT